TGACTGTTCACGGCAGAAGTTTGTGGTTGGTCCAAGTCTCGTGCTTCCCGGCTGTCTCGGTATAAATACGGAAACTTATTATATCGAGGGAAAAAAATATTCTTTAACTTTTTTTGGCATATATGGATCGAGCTCGCACGGAAGCGGCAGGTTTGTACAGCTCGTAGAGTTGTTTAATGCTAAAATTCGACATGATTTTGATCGATCAAACAACATCTCATTGTTAAATTAAATCAAAGTTATAGCTCTTTGAAAAATGAGCGATTGCTTACTATCGAATTTCGATCTGCAAAACTCCATTGTGATAGATCCAACATATAGTTATTTGGCTTATATTAAAAAATTTCAAAATCATCTATGCTAAAATTTTTTTTCTTTGCTGTGTTCACAGGTAGCCCAAGCTCGAAATATGATCATCGGCGAGCATCGGCATTGTTGCGTAACATTCAAAATATAAGGATTTGTATGGGAAAAAAACCTATCGTTTCTGTAACCTACGAAAATGAAAGGATTTCAATAAAAAACAGCTTACCTTACTTAAAATGTGTGTTACATCTCTCCTGTGTGGTCCACGGGCCGATTTATGGCCGTTTTATGGGTTTTTATGAAAACGGTTTTCTCTCTATATAAAGGTTTAAGGTACAAGAATGCTGTATAATGACAGACTAGAAACAATAGACAACTCCCAAAGCACAAACTCAGCCAAAACGCTAAAAATCTTCAATGTTTACTCAAGTTTGGGCTTATAGAAGATAATGTCACAGTTTTGCAATGACCATGAAATTCAGAGTCCGGGTAGTTAGTTAATCAATTGTGGCCCTGAAAAGTTTGAAGGAAAAAAAACTACGAATTTTTAAGAAAATGCTTTTTTCGTGAGAAGGACTCTTAAACGCTGACAAACGTCAACAAATAGCGAAAACTATAATTTCTATATGTTTGCTTTGCTCGAAATCGCGCGCATTTACAAGGCCCTAAAGCGTTTTGCTGACTTGCAAGAACCCATCTGTTATAACGATACCCAAAATAAAGGGATGAATCTCATAGTTTATTAGATATAATCGTGTAAAGTTTGCTTATCATTTTGGCATAAATTATGACCTAAATTGAGAAACCGCTGAATTTCTCGAATTGGGTCTTTGTGATTTTGGTTAAACTCTGTTCAGCGCAAGGCACTCATGCGCACTATGTGTAGCCGAGAGATTTTCACTCGGCCCACCCCCCTCCAAAAAAAACCGGGTCGAGTCACCTTAATCGATGCGATGAAAACTTCACAATTAAGCTGTCTCGAATTTGAGCGTGTTTCCTAAAATATTTGCCTGAATTTAGCATCAGCTTGACCAAAAAGTCAATAACACAATGCTAATTGATAAATTTACATTTCAAACAGACTTTCTCTTCCATAAAAAACACACAAAATGTACCTTAACTCTTCGCTCGCTCGATTTTCCTTCAGCCGATTCTAGCCGCGGTGAAAACAGTGATTAATTCATCCAGGGCAGATTTGTCGCTTGATCTTTTGTCTTTTTTCCTTCAAAACGACAGCTTAGTATTTTCTTCAACTTCCACTTTCCATCTGTGTATTTCATCGGTTTATTATTCCACTATTATGTCATTTTACCATATAAGGTCAAGAGAAAAAGCAAAATACGAGGCCGTAATACACCGTAGTGTCCTGGTTTAACCGGTTTACAACAGGGCGAATACCGGTGGATGCAAAAGGAGCAACTGTGGCTGACAGAATCAGGATGTTTTGGATACTCGCATTAGAAAATAGAAGCCAAAATACCATTTTTCTTTTGCAGTAAAATAATTAACCTCTCATTCAATGGTTTGGCATATAATACGCGCGAACATTTTTCTAATTGTTAACGTCATTCTCACATACAGAATCAGGATGTCTCTGAATACTCTTACCAAAAAATAGAAGCCAATTGCCAGATAATTTTTTTTTTGTAGTGGAATAATAAACCTCTTATTCGATGGTTTTGCATATAATACGAGCGGTCATTTTGCTAATTGCTCGTATTTTTCCTCGCCCCTGCGGGGCTCGGAAAAATACTACGCAACTCGCAAAATATCCGCACGTATTATATGCTAAACCATCGAATGAGGTGTATATATTTTACCGTCAGGAGAGGAGATTTGATGAATTTGCCTAAATTTTACCGCGCTAGCTCAGTTTCTTGGCGTTCACCCACGGGCAAATGGTAGTGGCTAACTGGCCAATCAGAGCGCGCGATTTACTTTTGTTATAAGGAATGAGCGGGAGCAACGTTTTCGTTTCCCGTTTCGTTTATCGTAAAAAGTAAAAAGACAACAACGTTACTAGAGAATACTTCATGGAAAGTGCTGGCGTACGGTATGTACGCACGAGTTGTAGACGTATCAGAAATCGAACGAGTGAGCGCAGCGAACGAGTAAGATTTCTGATACAAAAACAACAAGTGCGTAAATACCATACCAAGCACTTTCCATATGGTATTGTGTTTATTATATACATACTGAGACATTCATCATTTTGGGGGCCTTTTTGTTTTAAATCTTTCAAAAATGATAAAATTTGCCGCTTCACACTTACCGCAAAATGACAACGAAAACAAAGTATCACCTTTTCTGTAAAAACGTTTGTTAAAAACATAAATGACGGAGAGGATATTAGGTAATCCAAGAACTATAAGTAATCTTAACTGTTTGTTCTCAATGCACAATTTAAAATGAGTGAATTTAAGTAAAATGGCCGGTTTCAATATAAGCTTAAACTTAAGGTGACTCGACCCAGTTTTTTTTTGGGGGGGGTACCATCCTACTTTGAAGCTCTCTGGTATCCCCACCTTTACTTTTATCGTAAGTCTAACACATAGAATGGATAACATATAGATCAATCTACAATATAACATAAAATTTTTGGCGATCGGAGTAAATGTCACGTGGTTATAATGCCACGCCCCTTTGAGGTCTGAGTCGAAAATCTGCTGTTGCCGGCATTTTTTCGTGAAAATCTCTCGGCTACACATAGTGCGCATTAGTGCCTTGCGCTGAACAGAGTTTCACCAAAATCGCAAAGACCCAATTCGAGAAATTCAGCGGTTTCCAAATTTAGGTCATAATTTATGCGAAAATGATAAGCAAACTTTACACGGATTATATCTAATAAACTATGAGATTCATCTCTTTATTTTGGGCATCGTTATAACAGATGGGTCCTTGCAAGTCAGCAAAACGCTTTAGGGCCTTGTAAATGCGCGCGATTTCGAGCAAAGCAAACATATAGAAATTATAGTTTTCGCTATTTGTTGACGTTTGTCAGCGTTTAAGAGTCCTTCTCACGAAAAAAGCATTTTCTTAAAAATTCGTAGTTTTTTTTCCTTCAAATTTTTTCAGGGCCACAATTGATTAACTAACTACCCGGACTCTGAATTTCATGGTCATTGAAAAACTGTGACATTATCTTCTATAAGCCCAAACTTGAGTAAACATTGAAGATTTTTAGCGTTTTGGCTGAGTTTGTGCTTTGGGAGTTGTCTATTGTTTCTAGTCTGTCATTATACAGCATTCTTGTTCAGCACGCGTGCAATGACCGCGCTTGGCTGACTTCCGAATGCTCACCGAGATATAATAATTTTGGTACAGTGAGACAGGCCATCGCGTGATACATAGAGGTTTAAGTCACAATTTTTAATCAATTCTCGTGCTTCTTGTGCCTTTGCAAAAAAATCAAGAAGTGCTACACACTAAATCTACTTACTATTAAAAAAATATCATTTTTTCATAGGTTTAATGCAAGCCAATAATTAAACCAACTCGTGACGGGAATATCTCGGTGAGCATTCGGAAGTCAGCCAAGCGTGGTCATTGCACGCGTGCTGAACAAGAATGCTGTATAATGACAGACTAGAAACAATAGACAACTCCCAAAGCACAAACTCAGCCAAAACGCTAAAAATCTTCAATGTTTACTCAAGTTTGGGCTTATAGAAGATAATGTCACAGTTTTTCAATGACCATGAAATTCAGAGTCCGGGTAGTTAGTTAATCAATTGTGGCCCTGAAAAAATTTGAAGGAAAAAAAACTACGAATTTTTAAGAAAATGCTTTTTTCGTGAGAAGGACTCTTAAACGCTGACAAACGTCAACAAATAGCGAAAACTATAATTTCTATATGTTTGCTTTGCTCGAAATCGCGCGCATTTACAAGGCCCTAAAGCGTTTTGCTGACTTGCAAGGACCCATCTGTTATAACGATGCCCAAAATAAAGAGATGAATCTCATAGTTTATTAGATATAATCCGTGTAAAGTTTGCTTATCATTTTCGCATAAATTATGACCTAAATTTGGAAACCGCTGAATTTCTCGAATTGGGTCTTTGCGATTTTGGTGAAACTCTGTTCAGCGCAAGGCACTAATGCGCACTATGTGTAGCCGAGAGATTTTCACGAAAAAATGCCGGCAACAGCAGATTTTCGACTCAGACCTCAAAGGGGCGTGGCATTATAACCACGTGACATTTACTCCGGTCGCCAAAAATTTTATGTTATATTGTAGATTGATCTATATGTTATCCATTCTATGTGTTAGACTTACGATAAAAGTAAAGGTGGCGATACCAGAGAGCTTCAAAGTAGGATGGTACCCCCCCAAAAAAAACTGGGTCGAGTCACCTTAAATGAAAGGCAAAGTAGCTCCGACAAAAAGCACAACAAAAGCTTACGTCTCGCTCTGTTTATCTCTTTCCGCTGTTGTTTCGCCGGCTCTCTACCGTTTTCTTTATCGACAGTGAAACAAACGAAACTATTCCACTATTCCGAAATGTCGCTCGTTCGCTCCTCTGATTGGCTAGAACTAATTTGCGTACGAAAATTTACGACATAGCTTTTGGTCTGTATATAATAAATTGTGTTCCTTACATGACCTTATCTTTGGTGGTTTATTTTACCGCTGACTAATTCACAAAGTCCCCTTTTTTTTTTGCATCGCTTCGCTATTGGGAGGTTGAAATAACATGCGCCTCGAAAAGTGTTATTTCTGTTCGTCTACAATATATCCAGGACACGGGACAGTATTTGTTAGGAATGATTGTAAAGTAAGTCGTCTACTGACATTTTATTTCAAGATGTGTGGCCAACCTGACCCAAACTACTACTCCGCGTTGTCAAATCCTTCCGATCGAACTCAATAACCAAGAAAAATTGTCCAGTCCAACATAATCGAGCGTTCGAATTCCGAATTTTCGGTTTCCACATCATTGCCAACTTTCTTCATCGAGGCATTCGAGGAAAAAGTCAGTGTTTTGTGTTGATTTTGTGTCGTCGGGCGAAACGACCGCAATTCAGTGTAATCGTGCAGTACTTGTTGTGGTACGGGTAAGATCTCCGCACGTGTGTGGAGCTAGCAAGCAAATCCTGAAGAGGAAAACGTTCGGTTGACTTCGTCTAAAAACACCCACTATTCGACGAATAGAAATAATGCTTGGAGCAACTACAGAATACAGGACAAAATCTTAAAGAGGCTCGGTTGCTCGCTAGTCAAGACAAGTGTTTATAGAACGAGAAAGATAAGGGCCCCAGTTGTTCAAAAGGTGCATAACGCTATCCTCTGGATAAATCTCTATAGTGCCATCCAACATTTGAACAACTGGTCGTAAGTGTAAGTCGACAGACATAAGAAAGACGTAAAGTATAAGTTTTAAAGAACAAGTAAAGGTATAATAATAATTTTAGTGGCTCAGTGGCTTGTCAGTCAAGGTTAGAGTGTGAAAGAAAGAGAAAGGTATGTATTTTAGTGGCTCGGAGGCTCAGAGGCTTCTTGAATTGTCAGTCAAGGTTAGTGTCTTACAGAACGAGACAGGTATAAGTGGCTCGGTGGCTTGGTCTGGGGGCTTGGTGGCTCATCAGCAAATGGCAAGCCTCTGAGCCACTCAAACTAATATATACCTGGAAAACGGGCCAGGTATTCTGTAGTTATGTCGGAGAGACTTTATTCATACAACCAATGATATTAACCATAGTTTTGACAATGACGTAACAGAGATTAGCCCTCTCAAGGATTTGTACAGCTCCATAATAAATAAAGGAAGAGACAATTTAAACTTGTTGATGCTGTTGATCTTTATATGAAGCTTGTTTATGATACACTGTAGATCTTCAGATTTTGCCGTTCAAAGTGCCACAAGAACTTCAAGATGAAGCGAAACCCCCGCAAAATAAAGTGGACAAAAGCCTTCAGGAAAGCGGCTGGCAAAGAACTTGCTATAGTAAGTAAAAGTGAAATGTTTGCTTTACTGCCATACATTACACATGTATAACTAACACTAGTAATAACATCACGATGTAATTGACCAATCAGATCAATAACCAGAGTATAATACCATCAACTGACATGATACAACTCACTTTGACTCTGAAGATGACTACCACACAGGTTGTCGAAACGTCAGTCACTGTCAACAACAACAGTCCTATTCAGGACCACGTTCACCCAGATGATCAAACTCAGCCTACTTTTGAAACCTGATGGGCGTGTAATATTGAGAAATCAAAATAAAACACTTTTATCAATACAAATATCAGCAGCTGTCTTTATCAGTGTTATTGTTTATCCTCCCACTTTACAATTCGATACTATTTCATTTTTCCTCAAAAATGCAGATATGGTGTGCAGAATGCATTGTTAACATAATATCTACATATTCAATTACCTTAGAGTGGAAATTTTCCTACATAAAAAAACTTAATTGAAAACTGCGAGAAAAACTTTTAAACAAACCTGTAGTAAACAGAAAATCGCCAACATTTCATCTTTGAACAAGTGTCACAAAATAGATACCAGCTCGCAGGTGAGAAGAACTGGACACAAGAGAGTACTGTACTTTTTACATTTACTTGGTTAAACTAGTAACAACAGGTCAAACACTAGTAACAACAGGTCAAACACTGACTATGATCCTCAGGATATTCCTTTGCACTCTAGCATGGTCAATAAAACTGGCTTATAATTGGGATACAGAAAAATTAAAGTTACCTGAAAAGTTTAAGCTTCGAGTATCACTTTAAACCCTTGTTGCGTGACACTAGGCTAACACGACTCACCTCATTCAACGCACCTGGAATTAGTGAGATAAAAAGGTCAACGTTTCACTGTTCAACTTCTTGTATATTTTTCAAAAATGGTGACAAACAAAAGCAAATACAATGCTGTAAATAGCTTTTAAAAGCGAAAAGATGTTATTTGTAATAGAATTAAATCTGGTCAATCTAAGCTGATCTTGTTTGAATCCATAAAAACAAATATGGTGTGCAGAACACATTGTTAACATAATATCTACATATTCAATTATCTTATAATGGAAATTTTCCTACATAAAAAACTTAATTGAAAACTGCGAGAAAAACTATAAACAAACCTGTAGTAAACAGAAAATCACTAACGTTTCATCTTTGAATGAGTGTCACAAAATAGATATCAGCTCGCGGGTGAGAAAAACTCAACACATGAGATCGAGGCAAAATGTGCCAGGCTGGTCCAAGATGGCATCCAAACCGCGAAATCACATGGCATACAGAACGGTTACTACTTCATGTACGGTACACAAATAGCAAGCGTTCTCCTTCGTTGAATGCAATAATTGGTAACATACTTATGTAGTTGGTATGTAGGACTTCAATCTGCATCATGATGTCTAATCCACATCTCTATCCTCTACAACATCAAGGGCTAACTGCAGAAACCACAGTTAGAAGTCAAACAAATGCCACAGTGAGCAGTTTTATCTCAATTACTAACTACAGCCATACACCAGAGGAGTAACCAACTTTTTGACTTGTTGTAGGCCTGGCTTATGTTTCCACATATCCTTGTTTATAATTATTTGTTTATAATTCTGCTGATTGCACGCATGACTAGTACGCACTAGTCACTAACCTCACCAACACTTTGAGCTCTTAGTGTTTATGCTCACCCCAACAACACATAATTTATTACAAGTGCTAGAGTGATCAAACCAAAAATTACTGGTCTATGTGCTGGCTATGCCCCTGTACACACACGGTATGAAGGAAGGTGTTGATTGACCATTTCTGATTCTGCTCAGGCCTTAAAGACAGCCATTCTTAAAGTTTACTTCTTGGGAGATCTTAACTTAAGCTGTAGACTTTCCTAAGAATTTTCAAGTTTTGATTTGCTATTGTATAATAATAATAATAATAATAATAATAATAATAATAATAATAATAATAATAATAATAATAATCTTTATTTCTTAAGATAAAATGACATATCCTAAGTTACAGTATAAACTCAAAAAACTATTTACATATCATATCTAAAAATTATTCTGTTACTAAAAACGTTCTTAAACCTGTCAGTGTAGATTCTAGGGACAGAGACTGACGAATTTCTAAGATTGTACCTCGTGTTCTTTTCCTTAGGTAGAAACTGGAAGAACGGACATTCGGGGTCACTCAATCTTTTTTTGTAGCGTGTCTTGTCTGCCCTCTCTAGCAAGTCCCTGATATTAACCATTCTTGGACATAAACTTTCTTTTCATACACCGGTCTAAAAATTTCTGTATTACAGAAAGGTCGGAATCTGAGGCACCATAAACCGGCAGAGCGTAAGAAAAATTTGGTAAAACTATTGCGTTAAAAAGGTGATCTAACCTTTCTTGTTGTCAGTGAATTATTGTCAATGTGATTTCAAATTATTTACATTTAATCATGAGAGGACACAGAGGCTTTTTACTGGAAGTACCATCCCACGCAGGGATGTTTTCTCCGCGGGCAGCTAATCCGACTTAATCCCATTTAATATGTCGCGCTCCTCGAAAGCGCAAAAATTTTCTTGTCGTGTATTAGATTTCAGATACATTTTCTTAATCTTCATTTCGCGCCAGAATAAATTAGTTTGCGCGTAAAGGGCTCCTAAAAAAATCACAATGTTTGTCCCACTTCGAATCCACCTTGTGGAGATACACCAGCTTGGTAGCTGGAATACATTGCCGAGGCGAAGATCTGGCATTTTTTCCTCCTCGTCGTATTTTCTTCACGGCAAATGTTTATATTTGTAATGAGAATGCAGCACATATCGGTGGATTTTACTTCATGCGGCTTGCTACTTCTGAAAGAAGAGTGCCGGATTTCATCGTTTTGTTCATGTTTATTAGTGTTGGCAAATGTAAGGTAAATGAACCGACCACTGTAAGGTAAAAATTGAAGTTTTAAATTTGTTACTCGGCAAAAAATCGTGGAATTGGAAGTCGTGAAACTCGTGAGTATTACCTCTGTTACCTAATGTCATGCGATGAATCCTCGCTTTTTCGATGTGTAACACAGATACAAGCGATAAATTTCTTTCGCAAAGTGAAGTACAATTTACTTAACAAGACCATTTGATGAATATTTCTCGTTATATGCTTTATTCATATTTGCTTGGCTTATTCAGGCTACAAGCCAGGAGTTTGATGACAATGTTTGTGTGCTATAATTATGCTAATAAGTTTTTGCACCTTTATATTGAAACTCATGTAAGCCAAACGTTTGTTAACTCTGGCAAAACACTCTTCTGTTATGGAGGAACTTTTAACGTCTTTCGGGGCCTTAATATGGTCAAATTTTTTTAGGGGAAACAAACCTTGATTTTGGCCAAACAGACTATGGCTTTTTTGCCTTTGAAGAGAGCGCGAGGCAAACATCGTGAGTACAGTGTAAGCCAGTGATGCTTTAGGTAGAGCTAACAAACATAGGCTGCACTTTAGGTGGCACACCCATGGGTGCAGTGTAACCCAGTGATTCTTTAGGTAGAGCAAACAAACATAGGCTGCACTTTAGGTGGCACACCCATGGGTGCAGTGTAACCCAGTGTTTCCTCAGGCAGAGCTTACAAACATAGACTATACAGGTGTACATCAGATGGTAACAAGTTTTCCAGTTAAAACTTTGTCATAAAATGCTACACCATGGCACTTCGACTATTTCATTATCGTGCTTGTTTTGACGAAGCACAATTGATAGTCAGGAGAAGTCGTATTGTCTAAAACCATAGCAAAAGACAAATTTACACACATCACAGCGTTAAGGTAAGGTAATACACGGTATTTCCTTCAGGTACATTTACATTTTGTGTTAGGTTATAAGCGATTAAATCACATGCAGCGACGAACAAAACGCGAAGCCGTCAGATATTCTAGAACCATGTTATTTACAGTGCTGTGCATTATATTTGCTTAACTAACTAACTACGCGCTGATGGAATTTTGAAACAATCCACTGGTCCCGTATAGTCATAATTGGAGCGGAAAGTTAGCACGCGAGCAGGGCGATTCTGGTGTGGTTTCTGTAATGTAGAAGATATTATGGCAATGAGGCTCCCGAGGTCCGTTCTGGAAGTCACAACTACATGTAGGATGAAATGTATTCTGGGTGCAGACGTCTCCTTTTCCAGGTCAGATTAAATAAACCATACCAACGGTTTGTTTAACAAAGCTCCCGTGAGACGGTTTTTTGGTGATTTTATTAATTTTTCCGATCCATTTTTTTTTCTCAGCTCTATTTTCGCGGCTTCTTGCGATACAAACTAAATTCATTTTTAGTTGTGATGGCATTACACTGCTTAATCATGACGGCTTTGGAAGAAACTGACTATCTTGCGCTTCGCGATTTCGCAAAATCGCTGTGGGAATTAAAAAATATTTTCTTCCAAAAAAGCGTTTTCACGCTTCTTTCTATAGTCTCTCGTTTTCTAAAGGTCCTCGAGAACAGAATAAGACAATATTTTATTACCTACAACCTAAAAACCTGATTTTTGACCACATTGAAACAAAACTGACCTCTGAAATGGAAGAAGAAAAGCCTATTATTTTTGCCGGCTTCGGCCTGCCGACGCCATCGTGTCTGCTTTGCTTTCATATGATGACATTTTCCTGACAGAAGGGTGTCGGGAAAAACACCTCGCGCTGATCATACGTGACAAAATCCGCCGCACCTAGGCATATAGGGAACAAGATTTACTAAACTGTAGTACTGGTGTCCACTATGTAATAGCCACTACACTGCAAATGATGCCACAGTGTACAGCGTAAATTCTCATGGATGCCGTACAGCACATTATGATTGAAAGTGACCTACATGTACAACACATTTAGGGTCGAATCGAAGTCTAACTTAGAACATGGATTAAAAAACCATTGGACGTTCAGATCTCTTTGTTAGTGGGTCAATTTAAGAAAATAAGGGCTTTTTCAGGCTACGCTACTTTATAGAAATTGTTCATGATAAGTGGTGTTTAGATAAAAATGTTGGGCAAACTGAAATGGCTTAGAACACAGTTTTGTTAAACACAGGTGAAACTCCGTTTCAATAACTGGCCCTTAGAGTTGTAATAATAATTGCTCATTCACTTCCTCTTCTTTCACAGGACAATTCATTAGAATTTGAAAAGAAAAGACATGTTCCTGTTAAATATAACCGAGAGCTGTGGTCTAACACTGGTGAGTAACACATGATATGAAGATACAGATTTCTTTACAGGCCATCTGATAGAGTGGGATTAAAAATCAGAAGTTGTGCGATATTTCGGGGTAGATTGTGTGATAAGATGGGACAATTATGCAACAAATTATGCAATTTTTTCAATTTACATTGTTTTACCAGGTTTCAAAGGAGAAAAACCACTTTAATGTTGTTTAACAGGCAATTTGAATGTAAAGGAATAATAAAACATCTAATTATCAAATTTAAAACAAAATAGTTAAATTTGTCCGATAATTTTTACCCAGAAAAGAAAAAGGAGACTTTTTTAATATTACATGATGCCGTTACACTGCTGACCACACTGCTTGTCTCTGAAATCAAAATGGCCACCCAGATACCGCGATCGAAGGTTTCAGATGTCTTGCAAGGCTTTCCTTCGTGGTAAATCACCTAAATAACATTAAGATTGGGAAAATGTTTAATTAAAGTGACAATTCATTGTTTATTTTACTTGAATTTAGCATTTTTTTTACGAATTATGCAATTTTCCTTAAATTGTGAATTTGATGCAATTTGAGGTCAATTGTGCGAAATCGCACCATCGCGTAATATCAGATGGCCTGTCTTTACAGCTTTTATAGGACCTCATGAGCAACCCTCCAAGTTAAATTTTTCCTTTGGTGGCCATTTGGTGACCAACTCTTTAGGTTTAATTGCCAAAGGATTTTTTTAGGCCCCAAAATATATGTAAATAATTAGAGTTTTAATAATTGGTTAAGAATTAATTTGGGCTTAAGAATGGTATTGTTCAGCCAAAACAATGTTTCTAAGCGGCATTTACCATTTTCACAAGTGTATACGGTAACTTATAACCCATGTTGAGTAACATCCATGTCTTTCTTCAAGTACTGTAAAATTCCGAAAATAAGCCCTGGGGCTTATATTTTTCAAAGGCCCTTTTTGAGGGGCTTATTTTTGGAGGGGCTTATATTCAGAGGGGCTCATCTACGGAAGGGAATTTGCGTTTCAAAATCAATTAGGCCAGCTAATAGATGGAAGGAAATTTACCATTTTTGCTTTGTTTTACTTTGTATTTGAGGGCAATTTCCAAGTACAAGCCCCCCAGGGGCTTACATTTGGAGGGGCGATGTAACGGAGGGTAATTGCGTTATGAGTTTGGGGTGCTTATATTTAGAGGGGCTTAGACAAGGAGGGGCTTATTTTCGGAATTTTACAGTATCAAAACCAAAATTTTAGTCGCCATGGCACCCAAAGTGGTCGCAGCTTGGAGGGTTTATGAGTAAAGTGTAAATGACAGTAATCAGATATTCAATATTACAAAAATATTTATGAAATGTTTCTATAATATCCTAATTACTTTTTGAAATCAACCATGATAAGTCCAGAAAATAGAAATAAGGCAAATACCATTGAAGCTCAACTAATGGTTCCCTTTTCACAATGTGCAATCTGTCTCTGTGTTTTTATTAATTTTTCTCTCAATGTTTTTTCTTCTCCTGGTGAGCAGTCCTACATTCACATCAAAGTGTTCCCAGCAACTAAAATTACCCCTCTACTACACAGGGGCACCCAACGACAGTTTCCTCCTAAATGCTTTGAAAACACTTTTTAGGTAATCCACAGTACTTTTAGATCTCTAGAAATGCATTCTAAGTGGCGCTAAAAAATTTGTCTCTGTTCGGACATCCTAGGGCAACTTGAGTCTTTTCAAAATTACAAGGGCTTCAGTATTATTTTCCCCAAAATTATACAACGTAGCTGCAATTTAAAGTTTTATGAAAGTGAGACATGTAGTTTTTCTGATTCCTCCCTGCATCACATCTTCGATTCCGAAAATTTTAGGTTTCCTTTCTCTACGAAAAATAGCCTAACCTGCAGTGTTCTCCCTTAATTTTAGCTTAGCAGGTAAGGGACCATTCTTCACCGGTAAGACCAAAAATATGTGCCAGAGGCGCACTCTCCTGCCAGGGGAGGGGCTTCGCGTTCATGAAGGCTTTTATTTTCCAGCATCCTGTCAACCAATTGGCCGAAAAGTATTTTAAACACCTCAAAACAAACACTTTTACGAATGAAGGCTGCCTTTGCCGCTAGGGTCAATTTAGTAACAAAAGTCGCAGAAGTCGTGAACTTTTCCTGCTGGTCGAAAAAGCTTAGAATTGGAACAGAAGCCCACGAAAAAATCGTTAGCTTGCAGTTCTTTGAAAGGTGCCAGTCAGCATTTAAATAAAGTAATTATGGAAAATAGCTGTGTTTTTCCGTATTCATTTCCTTTTCTTGTGGGGATCGGCTTGGATCACAACTTGCATATTTTTTGCAACAATTTACACTTCAAGACGTTGCAGACGGTAAGAAGTGTTGCTTCAAGCGGTAAATTTTACCGGTTACCGCCTGACAAGGAGAACACTGAACCTGGGGAGTGAAATGGGAAAAATGAAACTTCAGAAAATCGTAGGGAATTTATTAGATAAGCTTCGAAAATTGTACATGAATGGAATGGTCATCTAGATATTTTTAGTCTTCCTCAAGCTATTAAAATTCTAGGCAGTTTTTGCCTCTCGGAACAGATATTTTGTTAGGCCAGGTGTAGTGTATAGGTTACAGCGGTCAATGAGAGATACTACATGGTTTTTGTGGAGAGACTGGACTGTACAGTGTAGTTGCTTCTCTGGAGTATTACAAGGAATACTTCCAGATATCACATGCATGTATTCATGCTCTCTGATTGAGTGACACTATTATGTAGTCCTGTAACATGTCAGTAATTTACTAACTTTTCTTAATTAATAATTTGCATTCATTGATACAAAATAATGTAAGTTAAGTTGCTCCACGGAAGCAAAATTCACACGGATCATACAATGTAGGTATGAGATCTTTTAATTTCTGCTTTAGTTTTCTTGTAAGTTGATATATGGTTTGAAAATCTGTTAGAGACCTACATAAAATAACTTAAAGATTATACATATAAGCTTGTATCTGATGTGATCCTGATTTGGCTCGTGCAATAATCTCATTGTATTTGATTTCAAACAGTGAAAGCCATGAAGAGAATAGAAGAAATCCGAAGCAAGAGGCAGGATCTTCACATCAAAAACAGGTCTGGTTCAATCATATTTCTCTTTAAGTGACCTTTCTTAGTTAAAACTGCATTAAATGCACTAATTTGCTGTCATTGTTTTTAGATTAAGGCCTGACAAGCAACTAAGAAAGGAAGCTGAGTCAAAGGAAGTCAAGCAAGGAATAGCACTCATAGCTCCTCCAGGTGTGTCCAGTTTATTATTATTTACTCGAATAAAGAATATTTTAAACTATCCAAAGTAAGTTACTTCACTTCAAATCAGACTTATCTCTGCCTATTTTAGGACTTAAAACCATGATACCAGCTCGCATATTCTTCTTATCCCCTGAACTACAGTGTTTATTTTCCAAACATTTCCTGTGGTACTGACTTACATGTACTATGCCTGTATAGCTAGTGCTCCCTGTTGAAATTAAATCGGTTGATTAACCATTGTCTTTATTAACATTAGCAACTGAAAGTTTCAGTAGAACCTCAATAACTCGGATGACTCGAACTCCCCGCTAACTTGAAGTTAGTTCCCCTTTATCAAAATTTCACCGAAATTTACCCTGATAACTCGAATTCTGGTTCTTGTAACCCCATTCGGATGCTATCTTATTAGTTCTCCTTGTTGTATAATTGGTAAAAACGCTAAAAATAACCCTACAGCGGTTTGATTTTAATTGGTACAACGAACAGATCAAACATAAAATGTGTGTTACGACTCTCCTGTGTGGTCCATGGGCCGATTTATGGCCGTTTAATGGGTTTTACTAGAAACTCATAAAAGGTTTTCTCTCTATATAAAGGTTTCATTGAAATCCTTTCATTTTCAGGGGTTCAGTGGAAACGATATACCTGTGGTTTATCATAAAAATGTACAATCATGTGAACGTTTCGAATAAAACAAGTAAATTTGCATTGTACCATACACCAAAGTGCTGAAAAACCCGGGGGGGGGGGAATCCGCATATCAAAGGGGTGGGGATGCTCGTCGGAAATTTTGAATTAACCCCTAAAGGAGACCGATCTGGGCGTGGCCCGAGCTTTTTTTGACCCCTGTTTTTTTATATTTTCTCGCGTGCAACCCTAAACGAGACCTTTACGGCTAAATATGATGGCGTTTTGCCCAGAACACCCTAAGTGAGACCAAAATCCGAAATTTACACCCCTAAGCCAGACGACGAGCATGCCCACCCCTTTCATATGCGGAGTCCCCCCCCCCACCCCCACCCCCCTCCCGGGGGGCTAAAAAATCAGTAGCTATTTAAAATTAGTAACATGGCAAGTTGAATATTCAGTCTATCCCGATAACTGTAGACTCTTCACAGTCCTCTATTTTTCCGTAAGATCGTCGGGATCGAGAGCTTTGCGTTACGGGCTGCCAACTTCCATGAGTGTCAAAACTACTTAGGGGGCGGGGGCGATTTGGGAGGAGACCCCCTCGGTACGTTTGAAAATCAAAGTAGCCGCCATGAACGGTAAGACGCACTATATCTCGACGATCTCACGAAAAAATAGGAGACTGAACAGTCTACGATGATTCGAACCCTCGTTAACTCGAACTGTTTTTCGTTTCCCTTCAGAGTTCGAGTTACCGCGGTTCTACCGTACTTGTACACATGCTATAAAATTCTTCAGCTTATAATAGTTATTGCCAGTAATTCTTCGCATTTCTAAAACTACTCTGTAAGCTTTCCGCTTGCTTTGGGGCTTCTCAGAAATAGCCTGGCGTGTAAGGATTAGGATACATGTACAAGCAAATCCAAGTATCACAGTGTTTAATAACAAAGTTGATGGACAAAGAAATAGAAATCCATGATCACCTATGCACCTAGACTTTTTCCAATTCCTTCGCTTCTCATTTCCGGTTCCGGTAGTTGGCCCCCGCGCGAAGGACTTTTATCCCCTGCAGCGCGCCGAATTTACACGAGGAATTTTACTCCTGTAGGTTTTATCCAATCACGAACGGTTTACTGATGCGCCGTCAATCAAACCCGATCACGCCACATGAAACGTGAAATTCAACTGAACCGTGTATTCAACTGATTCAAATATAAAGCTTTAGTGGGCGTTTTATCTTCCTCTATTTAAAGTACGCAAATAGTTCGCGCCAAAATGACGTCACTTGATGCGATTTTTTCCAGGGAAAACAAGTCGAGCTCTCGCTCTCTCGCTCGCTTTTGCCGTAGAAAACGTAAAATCTACCGCTCGCGCTTCGCGCTCGTGAAAAATTTTGAGTTCGACTTAGGCAAGTCTACTATGCACCGTGTTTCGTGCAATATATGCTGCTGTAAGAGCAGGACCTTTGATTAGACTGTATCCTTATCTACTGTGACAGTGTCTTTGATCTAACCTTCTTGAGTTTTCATTCACAGTTGAGAAGAAAAGACTTGGACAGAAGATCTCACAAGTCATGCGTGAAGCAGAAAGCATGGAGACTGAAGACTGATTGTTTCACTTTTTCCGGGCTGTGCCATTTTGAAATGAAATAAATGAACCTCGACAGAGTAAACTGTGTTAATGGCTTTGTTACGTTAAACAAATTCTGCCTGTCAGTACAGAAAGAGGTTAATTTTTAAAGAATTTTTCATTGGTTCTGTGTAGTTTAGGACAAAAGCAAAAAGTTAAGTTGCATCAACTGAGTTTATTGTTAATTGTTAATAATAAATTAAATTAGTAGTACCCTGGATAACGAATTCACGATTGGCTCTCTGCTGCTTAAAAAATAAAGTATCAGCGAAGCGTATGCAATATTAATTTTGTGATCATCGTACTGCACGACCACTGCAGAAGAATTGGTAAGCTTTACGAAAGGATATGAAGGGAAATTGTCTTTTGTTGCAAAAATTGCAACGACAAAGAAAATCAGTTTCACAAGTATTAAAACAAAAGTACATTTCCTCGTTGTGTCTAATGGTAAAATTTGCGCAGTCATTTTGTCCTTCTTCGGGGTGTGTTTGTTAGATAAACTATATTCTGCGATTTTAGTTTCTTTCAAGAAAGCGTGTATTGCTTCGTTTCCAGAGCAAGAGATTTGTAGACATTTTTTTTATCCTGTTATGTTCTATTTGCCCCACCATGGGACATTTTGCTGCTTTGCAAAAATAAATGTTAATTCACAAAGAGGGGGGATTGGAACGTTTTAATTTGACTGAGCTATCACCTGACTTAAATTTTGTTACGTTTGAAGCTTGTTGAGCTTGCTCCTATTCTTCGAGTCATCATTATTATCATTATTTTCCTCTCTTTGGGTTTCTCTCTGGCATGGCTTTTCAACTACGCGACTGACAAACCATGCGAACAACTTCCTAAATACAAAAGGCCATGCCAGAAAGAAACCTCAGCTCGCCGGGTATTTTCTGCGGCGTTTTATAGGGAGTTTATGTCACGAACAAGACAATCGCCTTACGCGTGATCATTCCAGCCACCTGTTCGACGCGCAACTGGTTGTATCTGTCATTTCTCTGCTGCCGTGGCATGCGTGATATCCCATCAGTGCCGACGGTCGACGTCCATGCGCTTCCAAGCCTTGCGCTCCTGCGTCACAGCGCGAATTTCATGAGAGAGAGATGGCGGGGGGGGGGGGGGGAGGGGGGGTTTTTGGGGGTTAAATTAACACAACCGGGGAAAAAAAGGGTAAAATAAACCCCCCTTTGTTTTTGGCGTTTTTTTGGCGGCCGCGGGGGTTTTTTGCAGTTCGTCCCTTTGGGGGGCACTTTTTTTTTGATTTTCTGTTTTTTTTATGGGACACCAGAAGGTAGAAATTTTCAA